ACGAAGCCCACCCACCCAGGCTGTGGACGCACAATCTGGACCAGCACGTCTGGCTGCGGCCTGGGCCAAGGGAGCCAGTTGCTCGGGGAGCAGGGAACTGGATGGATGCTTGCCGGGCAGCCCCAGGCCCCAGCAGGCGAGGCCCAGCGCCTTCATCTACACTTCGACCCCCAGGCAGACGCCTTTCACTGGCGGGGAGTGCGGTGTGGGGGCTGCAAAGACCACAGCTCAAGATCCAGGTCATGGAAGAGGCCACCCTACTTTAGCTCACTTGTTCAGGTCCTGGGACACCACCTCTGCCTCCCAGAGGGGACTAGGGCTTTCCCGGTCTGTGTGAGAAGGTGGTTCTGCCTGAGACCACCCTGCACCCAGCGGAAGAGCCCCGGACGTTTGCACTCACCGACTGAGCACTCCCAGGTGGCTGTCCCGTCCTGAAGTCTCATATGTCTGAACTTGGTAGGTCTGCAGTCCCCTGCGAGGGAGGCAGAGGCACCATGGTTGTCACCGTTGTACCGATGAGGTGGGGCACAGAGGGGGCTAAGAAACAGCCGGGAGGGGACAGAGCCAGAAGCAAAGCCAGGCCGCCAGCTTCTTCCTAGGGCGTCTCAGGGGAGGTCCACAGGCTCCTCGCCATCACCATTGCTTCCTGGTGTGTGAGCCTGAGTGTGGGGCTCCCAGGCCCCACACCCCAGGGTCACGCTCACACACTTGCCAGTCAGTTGACGCCCCTGCCCGGAGACCCACAGATGCATCCCCAAAGTCCAAGCTGCAGGGATGGCCTTCAGTTCCAGGACCCCATAGGGACCCCGAAACACCCTCCTATGGCCACCTCATGGCCGATACAGATGGCTTTCTCCCAGGAGAAAGATCACTGGGACCTCTCTATGCCTTTTCTCTCTCAGGCTTCAAAGCCAGCCTGGGCCAGTCCTTCCCAGCTCGGGGACCCCGCAGCCATGCCCAGGACAGGGGTGGAGGTGCTGGGAGCCTGGAGCCCCAAGCCCGTTGGAACTCTCCTTCTCGCTGGATCCCAAACCCAGCCATTGTGGCCGCCGTGCGGAGCCTGAGTCCCATATCCCTATGATATCGCCGAGGAGCCCCGGGCCCTGTCTTCCCTCTGGGATTTTTCCTAAATGGAATAGCAGCTGGAAGACTGTTCAGCAGACCAGCAGGGAAGGGCTGGCAGGGCTTGAAAAGTAAACGGCAGGGCTCTGTGGCCTTCCGTCCGGGGGCCTGAAGCCTCGGCCCCTCAGCCGCTTGCCCTGGGCCTGGTAGGCCCTCCTGACCCCCAGATCTGCAAGCCTTCAGATTTTAGGGTACTGGAGTAATCGCCATGCCCTCCAGGCAGCTAACATCCCTGGCCCTGCTCCCCAAGTCACCCTCCTACTTGAGAGGCCATCATCCCCATGGCTGCCCTCTGCCTCATGGGAGTCCCCCGCAGAATCACCGCAATGGCCGCCCCATCTCCCGTGAAGGGCTTCCGCCCCATGGGCACTGGAGAATCTGGCCCAAGGCGCTTCTTGGTCCTAGGAGGATGGTGGTAGCAGAGCCAAGGGAGCACCCTTACCTGTGAGCACCGCGGGGGCCAGGACCCCAGAGAGGAGCAGCAGCGCCATGCGCAGGGCCAGACCGAATGCCATCCTGGCCCAAGTGAGCACGGCCGGCGAGCAGGATGCACTGAGGACTGAGCCGGGTAACTTGAGGGCGGCGGGAAAGAGGTATCAAAGGGCTGGGAAGGGTTTTCATCAATGCAAACTCTGTCCTCCTGGGACACCGTGCCCGCCCCCCAAGCATGCCAACACACACACACACACACACACACACACACACGCACGCACACACACACAGCAGAGCTTACAGAACAGACTGCTTTCCTGAATTCTGGAGCAGCCCCACCCTCAGAGGGGGAAAGAGGAAATGATTCCCTTTCTCTCTCTCTCTCTCTCTCTCTCTCTCTCTCTCTCTCTCTCTCTCTCTCACACACACACACACACACACACACACTCTCCTGGGCCACTGGAAGTGAGAGATTCTCAAACCTCCACGTGTAAAACGTTCACCCAGGGACCTGGAAACTGCAGATGCTCCTGGCACTCTGTCTCAGCAGCCGGAGGGGCCGGGACCTGCACGTCAGAGCCCGGGCCCAGGCTCGGAGGCTCGGGCCCGGGCAGTGCGCTGAGTGGACGGGCTCTGCTCACTTTCGGGCTCTAGATGCCTGGCCGGGCGTGGGCTCTCCACAGAGCTCGTTAAACCACACGCACTTGAAAGCAGTTTCAGTCTAAGCCCTCCGTCAGCTCTAGTCTCTTTCTAGAAAAGCCCATGTCATTAAATGCCATGCATCCCTTCTTCTTGCTCTCTGTTCTGCCAAGTGCCTGAGACTTGAAATGCCAACTATATGCTCATGACCTGCTGTCTCCAGCCTCGGTCTGGCTCAGACCTTCAGCCCCACCACCACGGCCTCGAGGACAGCTGCCTGGGTGTCTGACGAGCATCACCGACTTAACGAGCATCACCGACTTAACACGTCCAAAATCGACCTCGACCCCCCTGCCTCTCCAGCCCCCACCCCGCAGATATCCTAAAGCAGGGAGAAGTCACACAATTAAGTCATCAAAGTCCCTTTTTATCTTACTCCCCAGGTCTAACTGCAGACACCCCACTACTTCACACCTTGTAGTTTCCCACTGGTCTTAAACATCCTAAGGGCTTTGCGTGGCCCTGTTCACCCTCCCCACCCTGATCGAACTTGGTCCTGCCTCAAGGCCTTTGTGCTTGCTGTCCCCTCCCAGAAAGCAACCCCTCCACTCATCCAGTGGCTGCGTCCTCAGCACGCATGAAGGCCTCAGCACGCATCAGTCAGCCCCACACACCTCATCCACACCAGTTTTAATTTCTTGGCATTTATGTTTCTATGAAACGCTCATTTTTTCTTTTTTTTGAGGACTAATATACTGTGAAGTGCACAAATCTTATGTTTACAGCATGATAGACTTTTGTACAGGTATATACCTGTGTAAACATCCAAATCGAGAGAACATTTCCAACGCACCAGCAGGCTCCCTCCTGCCCCTCCCATCGGTCCCCCCAAAGTGCAATTCTATCTTCTATCGCCATAGATTAGTTTGTCTACACCTGATCTTCAAATAAACAGAACCATGTAATATGAACTCTTGTGTCTGGCTTGTGTGGTTCAACATTCTGTGAAATTCAACCGTTGCTGTGTGTAGCAGTAGCTCATTTGTTCCTATTGCTGAATAGTATTCAATTGTCCGAATATGCTGCAACTTACCCATTCTTCTATTTGGCCCATTTACTTATCGATGTTCATTTAGGTTATTTCCATGTCTGGATTTTTACAAATACAGCTATGAATATTCTGGTACGTGTCTTTGTTTTGCTGGACACATACACTAATTCTCTGGGTTATGTCTCGAGATCGAATTGCTAGGTCATAGGGCAGAAAGTGTGTTTAGGCTCCGTCAGCCGAGCAGTTTTCCAAAGGGTTCAGATTTATACTCTCATCAGCTGTCGCTCCAGATCCTCGCCAACCCCTGGCTGGCATTGCCTGTTTTTAATTTCTAGTTGTCCGATAGGTATGCAGTGGTGTCTCACTGTGGTTGTGTTTCCATGACTAATAAACTTGAGCACCACAGGAATATGCTCTTTTGCAAAGGGTCTGTCAATTCTTTTTGCCTATACATTAGGGTGATCTTTTAAAATTTATTTTTGGGATTGGGGGGGGGTTGTGTGTGTGTGTGTCCCAGATAAAAATCCCTTTGCCAGACATGTGTAATGGTGCCTTTAGATGAAGTGTTCAGTGCGTCTGTCTGTCTGTCTGTCCCCTCTCTGTGAGCCCCAGGACAGCAGGGACTGTGTTTTGTTCACCAGCGCATTTCCAGAACCTAGCACCATGCCCAGCACCAGAAGGAACTTTAATACTTGGATTCAGGAAGCTGGGATTTCTGGGATAGATTTAACCGTGAGCATCTTCTCAGTGTTCACTCGTTTGTGATGCTTGACTGCTCAGCCTCCTGTCCTCATCTTTCCGCGCCCTGCAATGAAAAGTAGCAACGCAGTGTAGTCAGACCCCCACATCACACTCCTGAGACTTCCTGGCCAGCTGACTTCCTATTAGCACCTGCCAATGGGAGGCACCGCTGGGAGGTGGGAGGTGGGGGTAGGGAAAAAAGGGACTTGTCTCTGCTTCAGATTTCTGACAGCACCTCTAACAGCAGCAGCAGCACCGGCTACAATGACTAATCTATGGCAAAGGGTCTGGTGGCGGTGGCTGCAAGGACAGACACAGAAGGCTGGAAAGTCGGGCTCCTGGATTCTCATCGGGCAGCTGAACCCCAACCCCAGCAGCCTCAGCGGGCAATGCTCTGGCCGTGGAGTGATCGCTCTGTTCCTGCAGCCCAGGCTGCTGTCAATTTCTGAGCCGTAGTTACCGATTTGTAAGGAAATTTCCACCCTTTCCTCCTTCACTTTTTCAGACAGACATCCTGACCAAAAAATTCCTGTATCAAATCTCTTATGCTTGAAATACCTAGAACGAACTCTCTTTCCTAGTCAGACCCTAACGAATCCGGAGCTTGGCACCTGGAATGGTCCCGGGAAACAGACCCTCAAAGATAAGTTTCTGAGCTTGGTTTGCTACCTTGTTGTTGCATGCAGGGAAGACCTCATTGCCAGTGCACAACGAGACCCGGTTATCATGGCACGCCGTGGTTAAGACCTGAGGTTAGCCTAAGTGCCTACTGAAGACAAGGCTTACAGGACCAACGAGATGCTGCCCTTCAGGTTTATAGAAGTGATGATGATCAAAAGGACAGTGAAGTGAACTGGTTACTTATTAAAACTGCATTTGGTGTTCACAGAAAGGGACAATATTCAGGCTTTAAATTCTAAGATCAGGGAACTCCAGTATTTCTACCGGAAGTCTTTTAAAAAATTCTCTTATCGCTGATAGATACGGGGCATAAAATCAAGCCCCCAATTTGCATGTGCTGCAGAATCCCAATCTTAAACTGAGTTCGTAGCCATGCCAACTCTCTTAGGTGGTATTTATGGCACTGACTGGGAAGGAGTGAGACCTCGAGATTTGTAATGAGGATATTTGGGTAGATGCAAACAAATCGGAGCATCTTCCACTCACAAATCCCCAGGCCTCTCTTGCTGAAGCAGTGGGTTCTTCTCCCATCTGAAGACAACAGCCTTTTCCTGTCTGCATAATAACCTCATCTGTTAATTACCCCTGCAAGAGGATGCCTGTTCACAAGACCCGCCCCGACAACTTCTCATCGCCTCCATATCCTTAACTAGACGCAAGGAGAACAGGTACAAAGTCTGGCCCAGGAGGGAATAAGTACACACTAAAACAACTGTTAATTATGCTAGCAATAAATTAGTAACTAAGCATTAAGTAAGACTTTGCTAATTGATACTAATAGAAATCTAGAGAACATGTGTGGGAATGAATTCTGAGGTGTCAGAATAAATGAACAGGATGTGAGTGACATTGCATCAGGTCAACCGAATTGACCAGGGTCTGTTTAGTGGAGATTCTCAACTCATTGTTTAGCTCAAACGTCTAGAGAAGCAGCTCTAACAACTAGGTTGGCTGATTAAAATCTAGACTCAATTGTGTCCTACAGTCAGTGACATTGAGAAGCCTGACGTGATGAAGAGATGGGAAGCCAAAGACAAGAGGGAAGGATTTGCTGAAGTGGATTTGTCGTAGGTGACACACATTCACCACCCCTCCCGCATCCTCAGGAAGTCCCAACGTGTATTCCCTTCACTGAGGCGCTGAGACAGGACTGGTAAGAAGGCTTGCATGTCTGAAAAGATATGTGCTGTGTGTTCCCTGCAGCCTTAGGTTGATGACGATGGGATGACTGGTTTCAATGGGAATAAGGTGGATGCAAACACTGCAATAGATGGCAAAGACAAAGTGACCACAAAAATGTTTGACCCTTAGAAATAAAATAGATGGGCAGCTACACAAAGATGAACAGGTGAGCAGAAATCTGCCCTTAACTGCGACAGAGCATCCAACCTCCCACCTGTTTCCCAGACCTAGAATCTCTTGATAGAAAGGGAGGCAATGTATGGGTGAGAAAGGACTCTACGAGACGGCTGCAAAAATAAACGGCCAATCTTCCCAAAGCTGCCAGCAGCTGTAGGCCATAGTAGCTGTGCCCCAGGGAAGAGAGATACACGTATCTTCAGGGACCACTGGGCACTGGTGCTGTACTGACACTCCTCTCTGGACACTCCCAAATGCCACTGCATTAAGCAAAGGGAGAGCTTACAGAAGGCAAGTGATAGATGGAATTTTGGTCTGAATCCATCTCGGTGGATGAAAGGGAAAATGGGCGGGAGTGGGCAGCTGAGAACCTACTCTGGGAGGGCAGAACCACGTGTCAGCCAAGGCGCCGTGGCCCTGACGCATGTTCCATCACTCCACCAGGCCTCGCTTGTAAAAGACAAACTCAGGATAAAATTATTAAGGCATTTCAAGACAGTGAATTGTATTTCAAATAATTAATAAAACTGCACTATAGGAAAAATGGCAGTGCACTGTCAGACTAGACGAAAAGTAAATTACAAAGATTAGTGCATGCCTCATCTTGTACAT